GACGATTACGAATATCTAAGAGAAAGCTATGTTAGAGGATTTGCAAACAGCCTACTACTGCGTGCCAGAACGACTTAAGATATCCATGAAGTTCTGCATTTAGGATAGCTGATCCAGGATTCGAGATTGCAATGGCTCCCTCCAAAAATGCAAGTTCAGGGTACCACCGCTACAATAACCTGCTCGGTGAGGTAAAATGGCAAGATCAATTCTCACAGAGATATTGGGCTTTCGGACTTTATCCATCATCCTGGTCCTCATCTGAGGACGGAAACAGATCTAGTTTCCGAAACGTCGTGTTTTTCTTAGTTATCTTAAAAACCAGGACGATGGATAAAGTCCGAAAACCCAATATCTCTGTGTGTTATAGACCATCGTCAGAATCCTATAGTAGTTAGTTAGTTAGTTATTGGAGAGGGTGGGCTTCCCCATGCACTTAGACCAGTATTGGTCCATTGTGCTTCCCTCTATGATTTCTACCAGTCTCTATATCCTACCGGTACTGGTGCTTACAATCAGTCCCGCCCAGCCAGCGAGATCGGCCTCTACTACCTGAGTGGTATCTACAATGCTTCCCCCATCTACCAGACGTATTAGAGACTACTGTTGGGCGGGAAATGTCCGTAATTTTGCTAAGTGGCCTCCTTAGGAGACATGAGGTTCTTTTACGTGCCGTAAAGCTACGACACGGGACCCACGGCTTAAAGTCCCTCCCGGAGGACTTGTTCCTTGAATTTTTCCGCCTTTAAAAATTCGACAACCTCCGCCGGGTATTTAAACCCGCGTACTACGAGTCATGAGGTGGGAACCTTACCTCTAGACTACGGAGGCTGCTTGAATCCTACAGTAACTACTTAAGATCTATTCTGCTTGATTGATTCAAACTTGGATTCCTTAACGACCTTTTCACACCTGAATAGGTCATATAGCGTCGAATTCGAGAATGATTTTGAATAATGAACTGTATATAATGTGGACGGAAGTGACTGTGACCTACTTTAAAGCATCGAATAACATCCGTGGAGGGACCATCAAAATTAGTCATGGATTAGGTATCAGGATCGATATTCGAACCTACGACCTTCCGAATATGAAGCCAGAATACTAATCACTCAATGGTGGCCTCCGTGTTCCTCATAAAACATCCATTTTTATGTCGTTACGGTATAGGATTTTCAATTTTTAATCAAATGTAATATAACTATCGTTTATAAATATTTACTATGAATCTTCCCAGAATGTATGCTATAAATGAATACGCAACATTTATCAAAGAGCATTAATACCGAAGCAAGATGTAGCATACATTCACAATTGATTTTACGGACAAATATAATGGCTGCATAACAATGAATCAGCCTACATAATGACGTCACACTTCGTGGAAAAATACAATGCGCATGCTGCAGGCCATGTCATTGATTTGACATTAGGTGCATAGATTATTTTTAAATTAGACGAAATGAAATAGTATGAATGACTGCGCTTTTACTACAAAACCGAATTTCTACCTACTCAGAACATACATAATCATATTTCTGACAAAATCAAAATGCTGTTGCTTTTGAAGGTACATTTATACCTGTATATTCTCTTTGACACACACACACACACCAATGAAAAAAGTACAGAGCAGGATCTATATCATGTTTAAAACTGATACCCCTTCCGGAACAGGAGAGAAATGGCTGGGCATAAAGGCCTGAGCTTATTCGGTTGTGTGAAGAAAGAAGTAACAGGGAATCATAACGTTATCAGGAGCTTCATAATTTGTACTCTTGATATAATATTTTTACGGTGATTAAACCAAGGATCATCAGATGAGGGACATGAAGTATGAATGGGAAATATGATAAATAAATAAGAAAATATGTAAACAATGAAAAGACCATCTGGGAGAAGTAAACGTATATGGGAAGATGGAATTACTGTGGATCTCAGATAAGCAGAATTTGAAAATGTGGATTAGATTGAACTCGCTCAAATTATTATCCATCTTAAGATTTTACGGACACGGCAATGAACCCTTAGGTTCCACAAAGGAGCGAATTTAACGAACAGTTGAGCAATCCTTACCTTCCTGAGAAGGCTAGTGAACACTATGGAAATATCGTTGACATATACGTCAATTTCTGGGCCAGGTGAATCCAGTGCTCGTGTTTAAATTGTATTCTCAATTTCTTTTCAAAACTGTCCTCACATATTCGCTTTGTATCCCCAAGAAATTTGTTCTCTAGAAATTAGGCAACCTAACTTGCTTTACTTGCATTCTATACAGACTAATGTTGGATGATTTATTGCACACAGATGTCTCCTTTGTTTCTTTATTCTTGATCCTCATTGTAGTCAGAGCAGAATAGGAATGAAAATGTAGCTCTTTATAAGGTTATTGCCTTCCAGTCTTTGTTCCCTGTGCAATCGGATTAGATGGTTGTTTCTGATATATAAGGTTATATTCACATTGAACTGTATACGTGACGTTGCGAATCAGCAAAATGTCAACTATATAGCTGAAGAGTAATGATCTTATTCACATTAAAATTAAACACATATCATCAGTATTCTTATGACCTTACACGTTAGGCTACAGTGGGAAGAATTTCTGAAGAAAGAATCCATGAAAAGTCACTGCACGGAAAGTTGAACAGAATGATCTCCAACTTTTAGAAGAAGAATCCAAAATTAAAAATATATTCAAAATCAAACTTCTTTCTATCAGATTTTGGCCTGATATAATTTGATAAATTAAATAGTTGAGAAGAGTGACTTCACAATCTGTTTCCTTTGGAGGTTATTTAAAGAAGCGCTCGGTTTCGAACTTATATAATTAGATGGTAGGACAAGATTTCAATGATGAATTGAGAAGGATTTGGAAGGGATAGTTTGTGGCCGGATCGACATGTTCTCCCGACATAATGTAGACGGTTACTGTTAGACCAAGCTCTTCGATAAATGTGTTATTTACATGCAACTTGTATCTTAATGTTTAACATTTTGATTTATTTCGTGATCAAATTCTTTTTATTATGAAATCTCACACACAAAGCCACAAAGCTTCTGACATGTATTTGTAAGGTTCTTGGTTCGGATATTGGTCGAGATAATGTTTTCTTTTCTTGGGGTGCCTGGGTTTCTCCAACTCCTCGTGGAGCTCATAGAACTTATTTTTTCTGTTGTACAGACTTGTAAACCCACGAATCTGGCTAACATTTTATTAAAATAAAGTAAATTCACCCATCAAGATGGCGAACAGGAACAATTCGGATTTGTACTATGGAGAGGTTCGGTTGGATTTTTCCTGAAGATAGGGACAGTAGGTTCCTCCGAAACGTCAGAAAAATTCTACCAGTCTACGGCACATCCCAGAAAGAATTACCTCCCTAGGGACACCTTGAGAATGAGATATTTTCTGATCTGAATCTTACCATTAAGTTCTTCTGAAATTTCGGCACTCCTTTGCCAGACTACAAGACGACATGTTCCAGAAGAAAATCATGTATATCGCTACCCTTTCCTTCCACCAGAAGAATGAGATATAACCAGGACCCGAAGTGTAACACGTCTCATTTCTATTCAGACAATTGACAATTCCCAAAGAAATTACTTTCTTCAAAATAAGAGCAAATAATTATTGATTAAGAATTGCCTTGAATGAAGTATCAGAAATACAGAAAGAGACATGTGGAGATTATTAGTCCATACAGAACAGTGGAACAGCTTTTGACTGCTATATAATCTGAGAAGGATAAATATCAGTAACCGGTCTTGATGCAAAGTTGTGTGTATGTACATGGCACTAGAAGACAAGCATGAGAATAGCTAGCAGGTGGGTACGTAGGAAGGCTAAGTGTTCATCGGCCTGCGAAGGGCAGATCACATCAAGTACCAGAAGGCACGAGGCTTGGGTCTGCTTCCTGAATCCTGCTGAAACTGTGCCCTCTTCGTTAATTGCGGTTTCATTGATTGTCTGTGGGAGAAAAAGATGTGAATGAAAGAATATAGTAATGAAAAGATGATGAGGCCGGTCACGGTAGCTGAGCGGTCTAAGGCATGTACTGTTTTCTCTCGCTTGGAAACCGGGATCATGGGTTCGAATCCCAATCAGGGCATGGATGTTTAGTTTGTGTGTGGGGATTTTTCTGTGTTTGTGTACAGTTAGAGGCCTTGCGACGAGCTGATCACCCGCCCAAGGAGTCCTACCAATGTGTAAGATCTGGAAAAACCGAAGTGAACGGAGAAGTTCATGGAGGTAGGCCTAGGTCCACTGGGGCTGTAGTGCCAAGCGAGGGGAAAAAAAGATGATGAGAGGTGTGGAACAGCAGAAGAAACAAGGAACAATGAAGGAAACTACTGAAACACAAAAGGGAAAAGAACGAAAGATGCGATATACTGAAGTAATTAACAAGGACAAGAAATGGGGGGGGGGAATAGGAATCGGAGTTAGAAAGGAAAAACAGAAGAAGGAAACAAAGCAAATATAACATGGGCTTTAGGGTTATTATCCTCCATGTATGATGCATATATCCTTTAAGACAGTAATATTGTTGAGCTTACTATAATTGGACACATTTATGACGAGAAAAATCTAGTGACATTACAGAACAAGAAACGTGTACTTATGAGCCATGTGTGTCAGTAAGTTTGCAGTATTTGATTGTTTAGATTTTAGCATTCTGAGTTGTGTTATCCTCTACCCATTTAGTTGAATACTGGCGTTTCGGAGGAACATGCTGCATCCATCTTCACGTATCCGATCTACATGCCTACATAATCTAACCCATCTCTCACCCTACACACTTCAAGCTGAAGGTGAAGACAGTACCTTGTTCCGAAACGTCGGTATCCAGCTAAGAGATGGTATTACAGTTCAGAATGTCGCAATCTGAACAATCGATTTGGTTACATTCGTACAGGCACGGGTTCTCGAAACTACTACTTATATAGCGTGAACGGTGAAGGTCAAGTTGGAACTGTAGGTGAATCAGGAGCATCAGGAGGGCGTTTGTGGTGGGGCTCACAGGGCGCAGGACCAGGCTGTGAACTCTGCCGTCCCTTCAGTACTACTGATGCAGCGGAGCGGAGAAGCAGCGGCGTTTGTCGTGATGCACTGACACCCAGACAGCAAGCAGACATGTCGCTTACACTGCGAGTCAAATACTTCCAGCTCTCCGTCAAATGCAAGGGCGAAAAAATCACCAAGGTGGACTTCAGGGGTAAGTACAGACAGCCTAGTTGCAACTCAGAGTTCAGATCTACTTACTATATTTTCCCGGTTTCATTGATTGATTCTTTGTTATTCAATGACGCGTCTTAGCTGCAAGTTTTATGTAAATTGAATGGAAGTATCAATGCCTTCGGTGGACTAGAAAGGGTGTGATCTTGATTTACTTTGAGGAAAGCAATAATAATGCGGGAAACTTGCGATAAAAGCCGGTATTCGGATTGTGGCAAAGAATCCAGGAACTCGTGAATGTAAATTAAGGTGTCCAATGACTCTAAACTTCACGTTGTCTTGCAGGTTATTGGTCATAATTTAAAAGCCCAGTTAGAATTTGTTAGAATTAGGGAATATTCGATTCTTGAGCAATTTAGTTGACTGACCTTATAGGCTAATTAAATGCGTTATTTTAGATTTTATGGATGTGTATTTCGGTGGAAATTTTTTGTTATTTACAACTTTTAATGTTAATTGACTTCATAAATTTTATGGATTGTGCGCCTACTCCATATAAACGCCTGTTACAGATCACCATTGTCCCCTAGCACAAACCAGTTACTGGCAGTTTGAAACCTCGACCGAATTTGGTAACCAAGAGACGGATCACAGGCACAACTGGCACAATGTGCTTTTATTCTTGAGCGAATTATATTCATCTGTGTTTGTGACTGGCCTGTCTCCTCCTTGCCTTTACAGATTAGTCGACTTACTGTTTGTAAAAGGTAAAAAGGGAAAAGTTGTCCCTGTGCTTAACTAATTAAGCACTATGCCATGAAGGCGTTGGGGTGAGTGGATGTGTAGATCCACATTTTCTTGACCTCGGTAATAGCTGGAAGTGAATGGTCAGCCTCACGTCCCGGCCGCTTTACCCCCGGGGAAAGAGCCCCTGGTACCTATTGGATAGGAGGTTGGGTGAACCACAGAGCCAATCTGGACCATTATTGAAGAAAGCAGTTTTCTGGGATTTGGCACCGTGTATATGTGNCATTATTGTTTGTACCGGTCTAAAATAGTTATTTTCTATGAGCTCTTCCCTGTAGCAACACTACTAGAATTATAAAAAGAGTGCACCCCAATTTCAGTAGCTGTACATATGAGGGAGAGTCAGTAAATAGGCCACAAATGGATATAAATCATGAATCATGGGAAGCATTTATTTCTCGACATATCCTCTACCAGCGGGGGGCACGCGGTAGCGTAGTTGGTTGAGGCACTGTGCTACAAACCGAAAGGTGGCGGGTTTGATTTCCGAGGAGGTCATTTGAGTTGGATGAAATATTTTTTATTGCTAGTGGGGTGGGACTAAGTCCCTTGTACTGCGGCCACTTCTGGCCTATTGTACCAGCCCCAGATCATAGCTGAGGGTGATTGTGGAGCAATTGGTGGAATGAAGATTTGCAGGGGAAACCGAAGTCCTCGGAGAAAACCTGCCCCAGCGCCACTTTGTCCACCACAAATCCCACTTGACCGGATCCGAGATCCCGCCGCGGTGGGACCCAGGTACTGACCGCTTGAGCTTTGGCGCGGCCCAAGAAATGTGTGACGCTTCACGCTTGTTCGTGTCATCCTTGCCCAGGGACAATGCTAATCTTCTCTGTATCGTTCCAATTTTAGTGTATGTGCCGCCGAAGCGAGTACTGGATGAAACTTGTTGAAGATCTTCGAGAGTTTTGGAATCAAATTATGCCTAGGATAGCCATAATAGTCTCCAGCCTACTTTCACTCCTTGAAGGAAATGTAGGCTAATGAAATCATTATGCTCTCGAAGTGGGTAATAATAATAATAATAATAATAATAATGAGGAGCTTCATAACTTGTACTTTTCTCCAAGTATAATTAGAGTGATCAAGTCAAGGAGGATGAGTTGGACAGGTCATGCAGCATGAATGGGGCTAAAGGAATGCATATAGGATATTGGTGGGAAAGCTGGAAGGATGGAGACCATTGGGGAGACCAAGACGTAGGTGGGTGGACAATATTAAAATGGATCTCAGAGGGTAGCGTAGTTGGTTGAGGGTCTATGCTATAAGCCGGAGGTCTCGGGTTCAAGTCCCGATGAGGGCATTGGATTTTCTTTTTCAGTTGACCTCATCCTTCCAGCCACACTAGGCCCTGGGGTTTTCTCAGCCTCTAGCAGAAATGAGTATCAGTAATTAATTAATTCATTTTCCTGGGGAGAAAAGCGCGGCCGGCGCGTAAGGCTGACAACCTTACCGTCATCTTTGAGACGCTTGTCTAGATAATGTGGGACCCTCAACGTCTCACAACCCTATGGGCATTCACGGCCTGGTACAGGGATAGCTTTACTTATTTACTGAGAGAGATAGGATGGGATGGTATAGATTGGATTGATCTGGCTCAGGATAGGGACCAGTGACGGGGTCTTGTGAACACTGTAATCAGCCTTCGGGTTCCATAAAATACTGGGAAATACAGTTGGCGACTTCTCAAGAAAGGCTCGGCTCCATGAGTGAGTGATTTATAGTTCATTTAACTATATATAGCGACGAATGTCTCGTCACACTGAATGATGAATTGGAAAGGGAATAGAAGGAAGAGTCCGTGGACTAATTTAAGGCACAGTTCTGGCATTTGCTTGGAGGGATTGAGGAAACCAAGGAATTTTCAGTCGGCACAGTCGTTGCCCTGCCAAAATTTGAACTGAGCACAGTCCGATTACAAGAAGCGTTGCCGCGTTTGTTTCCTTGCTCTGCGGGTTTTATCGTTGGATTTGAAATGTTGAATTATGATATTATCAGTAAAAGATTTGTAGGAATAGAAGTCTATGTAACAGGAAAGTGGGATTTATGTAATTCTTAACAAGAAAAATTCTTTGTAGTTTGTGATACTCTGCAATATCATGACGCGGAAGGCTGTTCCGCGAATTCATGTGGTGGCAGTAACACGAGTGGTGTTCAGTACAAGACTCTGAATGTAAGCCACAGCTCAAGCGGTTAGTCGCTGGCTTCCCACCGCGGCGGCCCGGGTTCGATCCCGGGTCTGGTCAAGTGGGATTTGTGGTGAACAAAGTGGCGCTGGGGCACGTTTTCTCCGAGTACAAGTTTAAAGCAGAAAGAGATGTGTGCCTAAGTAATAATTCCTATCCAAAAATATGAAGATTGAAATCTGTAACATATTTACAGTTACAGCTAATAAAATATTTCATTCGGAAAATTATTGGGATATGTGAACATCAGATACACGAGTTCAGTACGTTAATTCGTTAGCTACATTGTATTTCATTTTTGCTTTGTATACTTGCATTATATAAATATGATATTAACAGACAAGCTTTGTGCGATTGGAAGTTTGTGTAATAAGTGAGGAGGGTTTAAGGTCCGCCCATTAGTTCTTGTTATGTGGACTAATTAATGTCACTGTGCACTCTATTAGGTTTGTGAAATTAAATTTGTGTCTACAGTAAGTTTAAATGGTGCTAATGAGATATGCAGAGATGTAAAGGACGCTAACTCGTTCTGTGAAATACATACAGTTTGTTTTGTAGGTCAGATATGTAATACGTAATTGTGTGCAACATAATCCATGTGTTCATAAATTAATCCTCAATTATTTCACTAACTTCATTGCATCCAGCTGTAATGTAGGGTGTCATTCACTCCTTGATCCCGCAATTGCGGTGACGTGTCGACACAGAGCTTCCAAACTGGGAGGACGTTTCCATAATGGTTACTGCAGTGACTTCCCAGTGGGCGCTATCCAATTAAAACATAGTGAAATGGGGCTCCCACCACACAACGTTTTAAAAGTAATTACATCTATGGTATTATACTAGAAACAAACTTTCAGCCAGAAATATTTCCACAACACTCACAACCTTTTTTTTTATTGCTAGTGAGGTGGGACTAAGCCCCTTGTACTGCGGCCACTTGTGGCCTATTGTACCAGCCCCAGATGATAGGTGAGGGTGATTGTGGAGAGGTTGGTGGAATGAAGATTGGCAGGGGAAACCGAAGTACTCGGAGAAACCCTGCCCCAGAGCCACTTTGTTCACTACAAATCCCACTTGACCAGACCCGGGCCGTCGCTGTGGGAAGCCAGCGACTAACCGCTTGAGCTATGGCGCCGCCTATACACTCACAATTTACTATCTGTATGAAGTCCAGCACTTGTAAAGGAAGGACATAGAGCAGGTCTTTACTGCAAATTTGATAATTAGTTATTCAATTTGCCAAGAAATTCACTGCCGTTATGGAACACGAAACTTCATCATCCTATAAATAAAAGCCAGTCATTATCCTTAATTAGCTGATGCCAATCCACAGCTGTATAATATTATTTAAGTTCTATCTAGTCGTGGGCATACACCTTTTTCATGCTAATCTTTCAAGAATTCTTTTACACTGAGACTGTTCTAACATAGCTAACTACTCAACTCACCTACTATATTGAGCAAAGTCACATTTAAGAAGCTCACAGTCGCTGAGCTAGTCAAAAGTTCCCAAAATTTTATGGAACGAGAAAATTCATTAAATTTTCACAAGAGTCCGCTACTAGCGCCTGAACTAAAGTAATCCACTCCTCACCCTGATGTTCTACTTTTTTATTTCCCTTCCCTCACACGAGTGCTACATGCCCCACCCATTTCACGCTTCTTGTTTTTTCTTCCCAATAATACAGGGTGGGGCGCAGAAACTTCCTTTTTTTGAAGACGCATTGTGAAGGGAGGGGAGGTCGCAGAAAAGTGGGGATAGGCTGGGAGAAAGCAGCAGTCGCGGAAGTTTCTGTCTAATACCACTCAATAGGAAACATGAGGTGGACGAGTGAGCACCGTGCATTTGCTGTCGAAGCCTATTTTTCGAACAACCATTTCTACGTGGCGGTGCAGTATGCGTTCCGTACTCACTTCGGAATTAAGCCCAGAGGCCCGGTTCGGGACCGGAAATCGATTGTTTTGTGGGTAGAGAACTTTAGGACAACCGAGAGTGTGGTGAAAAAATCATCAGGACGACAACGGACCGTTACGACACCAGAAAATGTTGAGGCAGTTCGACAGTCGATTTTGAGACCTCCAAGACGCTCCGCTCGCAAACATGCAGTCTCCCTAGACATATCCAATCATTCAATGCGCCGAATTCTTCACGAACATCTTAATTTCCATCCCTATAAGATGGTTGTTGTGCAAGAATTGTCACCATGTGATTTCCAGAACCGAATAACGGTGTGCGAAACGTTATTGGAAAATTTACCCCCTGACACACCTGTTTTCTTTAGTAATGAGGCACACTTTCACCTATCCGGATATGCCAACAAGCAGAATATGCGCTATTGGAGCGGTAACAATCCCAGAGAGCTCCATGAGAGGCCACTTCACAGTGATAAGGTGACAGTATGCTGTGCGTTGTCGAGAGTTGGAGTTATTGGCCCTTATTTTTTTGAAGAAGACAATAATGCAGTTACTGTCAATTCACAGCGGTATGTGGACAAGATTAAAAACTTTTTCGAACCAGCTCTTGAAGAATTGCATCTAGGAAATGTCTGGTTCCAACAGGATGGTGCCACGGCCCACACAGCCCGAGCGTCGATGACAGTTTTGAGGGAAAAGTTCCCCAGATGGCTCATCTCGCTTCGAGGTGACATCCCGTGGGCAGTGTACTCACCTGATCTAACGCCCTGTGATTTTTTATGGGGATACCTCAAGGCAGAGGTTTTTAAACATCGCCCCACAAACGTGCTTCAGCTGAAGAATGTTATTCGGCAGGAAGTAGCCCAAAATCCGGTGCAGACGGGAACTTCAGAAAACGGTTGCATCAGTGCATAGAGAACGGTGACCACCACCTTCAAGATATTTTGTTTAAACCTACATGATTTAAAACTTTAAAGTATGTTCTTTCATTAGCTAAACATAAATTTTGTCTATCAGCAATAATTTTTCTTTTATTCGCCTTCAAAAGAAGGAAGTTTTTGCGCTCCACTCTGTATATATTGAGAAGTAGAAATTGTGATGCACTTCATTATGAAATTTTCTTAAGCCTCCTGAAAATTCTGCCTCCATGTGTCCGCTTTTCTAACAATATTACGTGTAGTAAACAAATTATGAATCTCCTAATTATTTAATTCTCTTCGGCGACTTGTATCTGCATTTCTCGCTGATTGGTTTGTTTTTCAGCTTCAGACTTCGGCTCCGAAAAAGAAGGAACATCCTTTATCCATTAATAAGAGGCTGTGTGGTCACAGAGCTTCTCTGAACGAGAAGTCGGACAGGAACTTAAATACGATCGTCCACAACTTAGTCATTCATTTTACTGAGCGACATGTATTACTGCGTATCTAGAAATTTCAATAACTGAACTGTTTTGCAATCTCACTTTACAGTAGTTTTTATCCTGTTAGAAACTTAAAATGTAAATTTTAGAATGCCTTGAACTACACACTATTTAACCTTGCATTAAAGTTTACAAAAGGAACTTGTATTTCTGCACAAATTACAGTTGTGGTGTAGCGGTTAACCCATCCACTATTCGACAGATATCAGGTACGATTCTCTGTCCGGAAACCGGATATTCTGAGGCATTTCATATTTTCCTTTACTTCCTCAGCATAATGTTAGAGCGGAGTGAAAATTGCCTCAAATTCTTCCTTGTAAACTTATCATTCAGGGCTTCAGACTGTTCTACAT